GCAGCAAGACATACAAATCATGAAGTAGCTTTTAAGGATTTAGCAGTCAGAACTTTCTACAGGCTTAAAGTTATTATTCAAAGTTCAAGTTTGAAGTCTTGAGAAAAAGTTGGAGCATTTACTAACTCCACCTGCAGATTCATCCACCGTCTACCCTCTCCACATTCCTACCCTTCCCCAGAACTCTTCTCCAGATATATGTTTCTCTTTCCACCCTATTTCTCTATCGAGTATTTTCTAAGTATTCCTCAGAAATCTGGTCTGTATGTTGTATGTACGCATGCTTATGCATACATATTGTTTTTAATTAGCTAATTCCCCCTGAAGCTGGGTGAGTTTTCACTAAACTTTAAAACATTACTCTTCTGGCAGTGACAGAAACTACTTATTAGACACTATATTTTCTTTTCTTATGGCTAGAATTTTTACGTAGCAGCTTCATATAAGAACCATAATGCACCATTTGTTCAAGTTTTCTTTTTAACGTGTAGTGAATTTTGTTATTACTGATTTATAAATTCTGTACAAATTTGGGTATGTTTACCATTAGAAGTTTATAAATTTATGATATTGTGCCCAGAATGATAAATATGCTTTTCTTGGACACTGCATTTTAAAATCATATTAACAAATGATATTGCAGTGAAAGTAGCTATGTTTATAAAATACTTGAACTATAAATTCTGCAAAGTTTTCTATCAATATCAAAAGCTTCTAACGTTTCTGAATAAATATAGCAACAAAGTAAAAGCAATTCTGAACCTGACCAGCAGGTAAATAGACTTTAACTAGAACATCAGAGTAAAAAAAAAGGTTTTGCTTAAATAGAACAAATACCTGTTCACTAGAGAAATATCCATGCACATACTCAATTGCTTTTAATTTGTACTCTGTCAGAACAGCCTAAAAAAACACAGAAAAAGAGCATTAATATATGTAAGCAACAGTAATATGCATATTATCAAAACTACCTAAGCAACTCAAACATGGCAGACCTTCCTCAGCCCCAGCACACAGAGGCAGCTAAAGTCACTATGGTGACATGACATTCTACCTTTCCAGGTTCCATGCTGTAAGGGATACACTGAGACAGCAGGAAAACCTCCGGGCCTCCCTACTCACTCCTACAAGAAAAGGAACAGAACTGTAATAGACAAGATTTGAGGTTACTAGAAATCACAAATAGAATTCCTGTAAATGTAATTAATTTCAGTACATCCCAATTTCAACCAAATTGTCATTTTTAAGAAGACTAATTATATCTGGCATGACTCGTCCATCAATTACTGAGCAGCTTTTATGTGCATTATAATAGAGAAACATGAATGATAAGTATTTCCACTGGGATATAAGAACCCAAGGAGCCAAAGAGGGCCCTCAATTCAACCTGTGTGCCTGCAGTGTGGTCTCTGAAAGGCATTTTAACTACCCTGAGAAGCTTTTTACCCATAAAAGGTGAACACCATTCACTACCCACCTTAAGATTAAAATAGTCAATAGTTGACATAACAGTAGTAGTACTCAGTAAATTATGGTTTCTTTCCTTACATGGCCCCTATCAATGGGAAGTTCAGAGAGAAGTACGGCGGCGGCCTTGACCCAGCACTATCTGGAGCCAGATGAAATCACATATGCTCTCCTTAGAACTGTTTGCAGAGCTTAGAGATGGAAACAATCATAATTTGGTAACTACTAATCATTAAAAATCAACTAATCCCTTTGGTTTTACTACAAAACAATTATTTGTACTTGGCATATACATCACTTTGCTAGGAAAAAAGATGACCGGTTAACTGAAAAAAACATCCAAGTTGCCTGTTATTTTAATAGTTTAATTTTCACTGAAAAGGGAGGTGAGAGGGAGAGAATGGCATTTTGGATAATGTACTTTAGAGAATGTACTGTTGAGATGTAACCTCAGGGAGTGATTACCTGGTTTAAACCAACTTACATTTACAAAGTCTGAGAGCAATTTTTTAAAAAAACCAATAATTCTCACTTAGATACATCTACATTTTAATCCCATTTTAACAGACTAAGACAATGCTAATGTATCTAATTATTTGGCACAGAAAGCAAAAGACATATTTTGCCTGCAGACCAGAAATAAGGACTTATAAGAATGTAAGTTGCTATCTCATGTACGATTTTCATCTCTGGAAAATATCCTACATCCCTCACTAGTATTTACTATGTGATCTTTTCATAACAAGAAGGGAGAGCATATACAAATTGCATCCTATAGCTTCCAAAAGTAGAAATCTACTGGTCTATTTGGACACACAAATTATTTCCTCATAAACAGTAGTTAAATATCAGCTCATGAACAAATTGTTACAAATTTTAAACATATAGTTGGCAAGCTAACACTTTATTGCAAATCTTAATTGCACAAATTGGATTTGCAAAAGCAGAAATTTTGTTCAAAAAGAACATCCAATATCATCAAATACGTAAATATAACCTATGAATTTGAAAAAAAGTCTTAAGAAGGATGAAGAAAAACATTTTGGTTTACAGACAATGCAGAAAAACGGCATGTACACAGGCAATTTTTTTGAAGTTCTTTTTTTTTTTAAGATTTTATTTATTTGAGAGAGAGAGAGAGAGAGAGCGATCACAAGCAGGGGGGAAGCGTAGAGGGAGAAGAAGACTCCCCGCTGAGCAGGGAGCCAGGTGCAGGACCCAATCCCAGGACCCCGGGATCACGACCTGAGCTGAAGACAGACGCTTTAACCAACTGAGCCACCTAGGGGCCCCCACAGGCAATTTTATTAATAATTTCATAAGCTGAAGCCTAAAGTAACAAATCCTTCCCTGTCAATCAAGGGTCTTAAAGGTTTGGAAATGGCAAGATAATCACCCTGAAATTCTAAGCAAAGCACCCCGTATTAGCATAAGAATGATACAGAAAGTCCTTCCAGTTCTAATTAGGTAAACCTCTTACTTTTGTGCTTTAGGTATTTATTAGGCTCAAGGCTACGTCCCAAATTTTTTTGCTGTCTGGTTCATTCTGGAAGGTAGGTTACATACAATGGCCTCGAAACGAAGCAAAAATTTGGAAAGCGGGAAGAAAAAGTTTTGAAATTCAAGTTATTGAAGCCCACTCCTGAAAACATGAGGCCTTTTGGACATTAATTTTGTCCGTCCAGGCAACACATAGTGTGCCTATCTTCAGATTTGAAAAACTTGCCATAATAACCACCATTAAAGAAATTTTATACGTTATTACCTCCAGTTTTCAGTCTTTAGGTTACTGAAGGATGAGGTGATCAGTTCAGAAACATTAAATCACTTCTCCTCAAGTACAGAGCTTTTAAAGATTTGTACAGCCGGCTTGGGAATGAGAACTCTTTGAATATAATTTCCACAATACTGCACTGATAGTCAAGTTAAGCATTAACATAACTTAATTTCTATTTGTGTAGTGAAGCGTATCAAACTACAAGCTCCCATACTGTGTGTGTACGTTAAAATTCCAATCAATTTCGCAATCCTAAAACCCACATTTTGCACAGTCTGCACGCAGTCCCTCAAAGAGAATTAACGAGAATTCGTAGCTCATAGATTGGTTTAAGAAATTAAGTGCAATTACCTTTCTAATTTCATCCAACACCGTTTCAAAGGACTTTTTGTCCATCTTGACTATTGTCTCAATGTGGTTTTAACAGTTACACTTTCAATTACAAAACGTTCATCCCTGGTCTGCTTCAATAGTAGAAATGTTTATAGCTGAGGAGGAAAGACTCCAGGGGCAAGAAAAAGGATGCGAAGAGGTAGAAAGTACTTGAAAATCTGCAAAAATTTCTAAAAATGCACACTTATAAAAACTTTTTGTTAAAAGCAAAAACCGTCGGGTTTCCTCAGCTTCTTCACACAAAGCTTCAGGACACCTAGGGGAAGAGCCCGGTGCTCTCTGAGTCCTGCAGAGAAATCCAGGGTTTGGTAGCCGGGGCTGAGCTTCGATCTCCTGCAGCTGAAGGCCAGGCGCCGCCGCCGGAAGGTCGTGAAGTCGCTCTCCTGTGTGGAAGATGAGAGGCACCTGCACCCTGGCTCCCGCGGGCGGCGAGGAAGGAGGCGCCGGCCTCTCGGCCCGCACCAGCGCCTCAGCCGCCGGCCGTCGCCCCTCACCGCCGCGAACCTGGACTCATGGCCCGACTTGCGCTCAGCCCCAACAGTTGCGGTGGCTCCTGGGTTCCACAGCCCGGGCCGCGGCGGCCTGGCAGGCTCTTTGTTATCAGCTGCCACGGCTTCCGGGAGCGGGCCGGCGGCGGGAGAGCACTAGGAGCCCGGCGAAGGGGGGCACGCTCCCCGGTAGGGGGACTCCCGAACACCGCGGCGCCCACAGCGTCTAGAGTCCTTCCTGGTTACCCCTACAGCTCCCCGCCGGCTCCCGGGGGCCTTTAACAAACCACGTCGCGCCCCAGTAAACTCAACTCTGCGCCGACAGCTTAGGCCTCTCTTTCCCGAAAGCCAATGGAGGGGGTCCTGGTGTGGGAACGTAGGTGTTCATAGCGAATGCCTGGATGCCTCGGAATCGGATGCAGCTTAAATCTTTCTCAGAGCTTGAAAGTCATCTTTTAAGGATCACATCTCTATGTTTTGGGTTTGAGTGTGCTTGACTCTGATTTTTCAATCGGAATTTTTAAAAAAATGAACGTCGAGTGATTAAGGCATATCTATGGATGCCCTTATTTTTGGCGGACGGGAGAAGTCAGCCGCCTGGACCGCCCCAAGGGGCGAAAAGGGACGGTCAGTGGGTCAGCCCGAGCCACGTGACCTGGGGGCGTGGACCCGGGAATGTTCCGGGAAACCGCTACCCGAGTTCTGATTTTTTTTTCACCCGAGTCCGGTTCTGAAACCCCGCACGTCCAGGGAGACGGAACTGGAGATAGGAACTTCGGCTCCAAGGTGGGGCCGACGCCGTGTACAGCGACGAACCGCGTGGAGCTGAGGCTGTCTGGTGGCCCCCAGCCGCCTGCGGACCCTACCGTTTCGTCATGGGAAGATTCTGGGTCAGCCTGGCCGGCGCTGGCTTCCTTCTTGCATTACTGGTTTTGCATTCGCGTTTTTGTGCCTCCCCGGTGAGTTGAGCAAGGGAGAAATGTCTGTTGGGTGTGTGGATAGCACTGTTGAGAGGCGACCCGCTGTCTTGGGATGGAGATGGCGGGCCCTGGCGCCCGCACTAGCTTGTCTTTTCAAAAGCTGCACGGGGAGCGGAACTGCCGACGTCCTGTTTTGTCTCTTGGTGTTAAAATGTTTGTATATGATACATCGCCATTTTCCTGTTTTCTTTCTTTCCCCAGATCCCACTACATCTTCAAATAATTTTGCAGATTTGTATTGTGATCACTTTGGTCTTTAGACTTATAAACCCATTTCTTCCGAATCATTTCTGTCTAGCAGTCTCAACACCTCTGTGTCAGCTGTCAGGGCATGCTTAAAAAATAAGCCTTTTTTTTTCTTTCTTTTTTTTTTCTTAACGTAGAGGGTAAACGGAATCTTAATCTTCTGATTATTTTTTTAAAGGTTTTAAGGAAATTTGCTTTTCAAATTTCCTGGAGAACCAAGGAAATTCCTTACCGGCTGGATGTGGGTTGGCCTAAGCACTCAGAATACTTTACTGGAGCAACATTTTGTGTTGCAATTGACTCCCTCAGCGGATTGGTTTACATAGCCCAGGTTAGTAAAATTGGGATTAAAAAAAAAATTATGAACACGAAGGAAACAATTTCTTCTTGTTTTGCTGTACTAAGTAACCATATATGTTTATATTATGCTGTTTGTGAAGTTTTTTTGAGTTGGTTTTAAGTAAATACTTTGGTTTTGAACGTTGTAGATATTGATATTGTTAGGTTTTGAATCTCGTTTTTTAAACATTAAATTTCTCGATTAACCTTTAATTTTTGTTTCTCTCTACCAAAATAAAGATTACTTTCTAAAAACTGATCCTATCTAAGCAGTTATTTTTATATACCTTCAGAGAGGGGATAACATCCCAAAGGTATTAGTGTTCACAGAGGATGGATATTTCCTACGATCCTGGAATTATACAGTTGACACACCTCATGGTATATTTGCAGCCAGTACACTACATGAGCAGTCTGTCTGGATCACGGATGTAGGAAGTGGTATGTGTAGTAATATCTATTAAATTTTCTTGCTAGAAATCATATTTTTGCCCATGTTCTTGCTTGTACGCTTTAAAATCAAGGGTTGCTAAATCTAATTGTAATTTCTTTAATTATTTTTGAAATCACTTGTTTCTAAAAATCTCTATATTGTACTTCTGTAGAGTCAAGATATTTAACAAGGAGGCTATAATTATTATGGTTTTTCCTTTAACTTGTCAAGGGACTTTTCCTCTTTAAAGCATTAGTTGTGAGACCATACTTTCAGGGATCATTTCTATGATTTGTTAACGCATCAGTTGCTCTTCACAGCAATTTTAAACCTCTTCTATGAAGCCCAAAAAATAGCAATCTCTGTAAGTTAATGAACGGAGTCCTTGTCTTATTTTCCTTTACCAGTTCACTTTCAAAAGAAATTGTGCTAAGAAACCAGAACTGCTTTGTTGCCCAAAATGCAAGATTTGCAGAGACAGCTGGTGTTAAATGTTTCTGAAATCCTACCTACTGCAGCATGTCTGAAATCTTCTTTCCACCAAATACTTTTAGTAGAATGTGTTGCAAATCAAAGTAGGCACAGTTGGATTTATAGCTCTGGTTGTTTTCAGAGATAGCTGTTTGCATGTTCTTGTGGCTTAAGACAGTACCAGAGATAACCTGGCATTATTATCGCAGGATCTCAGGAATGAATGTGATCATAAAGACAGTCTTTGGCCCAGTCACAGTCATGGCTTGAAGGACATCCTGTTTCTTCATTTCTGGCAAATTCAGATACCATTTTGGAATTAATGAACTCTCAGTTTTTGTTAGAAGTGCCATTACCGTTTGTTCTCAGAACCCAAAAGATTTCTGAGCCTCAGCTAATTTCATTGCTTTCAAAATGTATTTTGGATGATAAAATTTTGGTTAAACAAAAAAGCGAGATTACCTCTGAGTACCTTGTAATGCTATAATGAAATATGACTATTTTGATTTCTTTTTTTTCCCCCAGGACTCCCTGTTAAAGGCCTTTACTTTTTAATTTATTCCAGTCATGTGATTGTTTTTTATAAAATACTTCATTGATTCCCAGAAATTAAAAAAAACACAGATGACCTCTTCTTTCCATTAAAGGGTTTTTTTTTTCATGCACAGATCTGAAGACACTTTTTATATTCCTTCCCATTTTTTGAAGAAATACATTCCCTTTAATAAAAATGTGGCTGTAAATGAGCCTTAAAAACAAAACAAAACGATGTTATATACTGGTGTTCTATGTCTTTTGCCAGTTCTTCAGAAACTTTGAAGGTTGCTTTCTTTAATAATATTTTGTTCTCTTGTTGCTACAAATTACCTCAAGCATTCAAATCAGGTATAACAATAAAAACGTTTTTTAAGATAGAATTGTAATGCAAATTGATTCACTTTATTTCCAGTGAGTTCAGTGTATCCAATTCATCTTTTGCATGCCTACCAGTTAGTTTGGTCTTGGTATGCCTTCAAGTTGATTTCTGTTAACCACATTATGTTTTTTTCCTAATTATTAATACCGTACTTTATATTTTTGCTTGTAAGATAATTTTAATTCAAAGAAGTCTTGATATAAGTGAGAAAATAAGGTACTAGTGATTTAGAAAGATTTATTCTCTTAGGAAAAAAGTTAATGGGTTGAGTTTTGCACTTGTTTCTACTATGAGAAAGTGTAGTTTTAAAAAAATATGTATTATAGTGAACTTTTTTGTTGACCTACTAAAATTTGAGATCTGCACATGATTGACTGAAATAATGATTTTCAAACATAAGTTCCTTTCCAGTTCCTTCTTGATTTCTTTTTGCAAGGAATGTTTATTCAAAGTTGTACTGTCATACTTATGATTACAAAAGAAAATGATGTACCTGTAATTTAACATCATGAGCCTTCTGTATAAGGAGCCAGTTTTGTTGGTTTTATTTATTTTAATTTAAAATCTACTTATTTTGGAGTACCTGAACTTTAATTCATGACAGATTTGGTTGTAACTAATGAAGAAGCTCCGTTGCTTGTGAAATACAGCATTTAATTATCTGAGCCTATTAACTTTTTATTACTGTCAAATTCTATTAAATTCTTGCTCTCTGCTTACTTGAAAAACATGAATGTTTGGACAATGGTTATATTTGTGACGTGTGCATATTTTTCTTTATAGGATCCTATGGTCATACTATTAAAAAATACAATTCCTTTGGTGATCTTGTTCAAGTCTTGGGTACCCCAGGCAAAAAAGGCACTGGTTTGAATCCCTTGCAATTTGATAATCCCGCAGAATTATTTGTAGATGACACAGGAGATATTTACATTGTGGATGGAGATGGAGGATTGAATAACAGATTGATCAAATTGTCCCAAGGTACATGGCTTGCATGGTATCATAAGAATCCTTTTTAATAAGTTGGATGTATTTAATTTGTTCAATACTTGGTTTAATATTATAACTAGTGTGTGTGTGTATTTTTTTTAAGAGAGAGAGAATACGATCTGGGGGTGGGGGCCAGGGGGAGAGGGAGAGAGACAATCTTCAGCAGACTCCACACCCAGCGAGAAGCCTGACATAGGGCTCCATCTCACGACCCTTGAGACCATGACCTGAGCTGAAATGTAATTGGACTTAACTGACTTGACTGAGCCACCCAGGCGCCCCTACAACTATTATTGTATATTGTATTATATATGAAGCTGTATGTAAGGGGCTCGAGTGGGATGTGTGGGATGGCCAATAATAAATGATTCTGATAATATGCTTGCTTATTCCTTTGAATTAAGTTGGAGGCAGTTTGGGAATTTATAGTGGGCTGAAGAAATAAGTGTTTATCCTGTCCAATTAAGAAAGAGAAGGTTAGGAACCTGGCATCCCAGAGCTGAGAGACCCTTCAGTTTGATTGATCAGCTAAAGTTTCATTGTATTGATTGCTGTATGTCCTCAGTAGTATTCTAGGTGCAGGTCTATTTCAGATGAAACTGCTAAATGCTACTCTATGGAATTGATTGTTAAAGTAAAATAAGATTTGGAGAAGGAGAAATTACTGTTGACTGGATAAGTAAAGCAACTGGTTCTTGAACTAAACTGGTTTTGGTGGGAGGAGAAGATGGATGGGAGGAACATTCACAAGGCTCTCTCACACAAGGTCTACAGGTAATTAGCAAGTCTTCTAGGAAGGGAGCTTAGGATGTAATTTTGGAAGAGTTAGAAAAAAAGATTTGAGATGTTCTTGAAGGCTTATCTAAGAATTTTGAAGCCATAATTTTGCTTTTAAAATGTCTGAGGTTTTTTTAGTAGGAAAGTGATGTTATAGAAGCAGTTTTTATAAGACACAATACTGTATCAGGATGTATTTGCAGTAAGCTCTGTCATTTGGACAGAGCATAAACTCCTACATGAAGGTTATATGGTTAAGTTATTATCCAGTAACTAAGTTTGGTGGTGATAGGTAAAGGGAGGTGGTGCAGATAAAGCAAGAATCAAAAAAATGCTGCGAAAGAAACAACCAAACTCAGGAGACAGATTGATACAGGTATCTTGGTTTCTTGTGGCTGCTATAAAAAATTGCCACAGACTGAATAGCTTAAACAGAAATTTATTCTCTCATGGTTTTGGAATCCAGAAGTCTGAAATCTATAAGGCCAGCCCTGCTCCCTCTAATGGCACTAGGGGAGAATCCCTCTTTGCCTCTTCCAGCTTCTCATGGTTCTAGACATTCTTGGCTTGTGGCAGCATATCTCCAGTCTCTGCCACTGTCTTCAGATGGCTGCCTTCTGTGTGTCTCTGTCTCAAATCTCCCTCTCCCTTCTCTTACAAGAACACTAGTCATTGGATTTAGGGTCCACCTAAATTTAGGATCTATCTCATCACAAGATCCCTAACCATACATCTGCAAAAGTCTATGACCAATAAAGTCACATTCACAAGTAGAGAAGTACCTGTGACTTGGTTATATCTTTTGGGGTAGCGGTAAAATTCAGCCTAGAACAGGGGTAATAAGGGAGACAGACTATAAAAACATAATGTGAATTTTTAAGCTCACAGGAATTGTAATACCAAATAACAGAATAGTTGGGAAGGGAGACACTGACATGAATCACACAGTGGTTTTGAGTGATGAAAAACTCAAGTGGAGATAGTCAGTAAAGAAGTTGATTAATTGCTTGAAACAAAAGGAATTTTTTGGGGGGGTAAAGCATAACAATTAGGCAAACTGGTATATACACAGAAAGCCAAGAAATCCTAATCAATTGGGGGTATAATTGAATAGTTTATTTGCAACCTAAGACATAAGATATAGCACGCAGATGTATAAGGTAGTTTATATGTTGCTCTGACCAACTATGTTTGCCATTGTCAGATTTCATGATGCTTTGGCTGCATGGAGAACGTGGAACGGGGCCTGCTAAGTTCAACATACCTCACAGTGTTACCGTTGATTCATTTGGTCGGGTAAAAATACACTGTCATTGTGTATGGAACTGTGTGTCTGAGTGTGTGTGTGTGTGTGTGTGTGTAGGTGTATGGACCTCTGTGTATGGATCTTGGTGCACATGTGTGTCTGGATATCTGAATATGTAGGAGTGTTCGTGGTTATGTGTATCTGGGTGTGTCCGGGCAATTCTCTGGGGCTGGGTATACCCACATATTCTTATAAATGTTCATGTCCTATAATGAAGAGAGTTCCCCAAATATTTAGAAATGAATAAGATAGATTACCTGTGTCACTTAAAGGTGGAAGGAACAAATAATGGAATAGAACTTAAGTTACCTGAAAAAGGAAAGAGTTGCCCTCCTACTAAGGAAACTACTAGGAGTGTTTGAATATATTTTTAATTTTAGAATTAAATTAATTCTAGAATATGTTGATCAAAAGGGAGATGGGAGAGATTAATCTTGGATGCTTGAAAATAAGAGCCACTCAGGCAACGTTGTTCTCACTAGCTCCACTCTGGGGAACGGAAAACTTTAACTGAAGCATTTCTTTCTCTTTTTTTTTTTTTTTTAAGATTTTATTTATTTATTTGAGAGAGAGCATAAGAGGGTAGAGGCTCAGAGGGAGAAGCAGGCTCCCTGCTGAGCCAGGAGCCTGATGCGGGGCTCGATCCCGGGACTCCAGGATCACGGCCTGAGCCGAAGGCAGTTGCCCAACCAACCGAGCTACCCAGGCACCCTTAACTGATGCTTTTCAACCCATTTCTTTTTCCCCACCCTATCCACTGCTACCTATTCTGCTTTTATCCACCTTTAAGCATATATATCACTTCCTTGGGGTTACTTTCCTATGACCAAAGCCCCACCCAAAATGTTTTATATTAGTTTCTCCTTCTGTTTTCCTGCCTATACTTTGCTGTTATAGTAATTATCACACTATAATATGATCAGTCATCTCCCTTAACAGAATGTAGGCTGTATGAGGGCATATACTGAATCTCTTTTGCTTTATATCTCAGTGCCTGACACATAGTAGTCATCTTATGAGTAACTGTTAAGTGACTAAATAAATGTCTTGCAGGATGGATGCATCAAACTATCTTGGCTTCATACTGTTAGAAATTTAATCCATTTCTACTTCTGATTCTGTGTTCATTAAACGACCTTTGGATTGTGATTTGGCTTCCTATGTAGACAAAGTGAGAATGTTTTGACCATAAAGTCTTCAGGTATTTTCCATTGTAGATAGGAAGATAACTGAACCTGTGAGTTTTGTCTGTAAATGGGAAGCTAGAAAGTTGGAATTCTGGCTTTAAACACATTACCCTCCTGAGCCCGGTTAACTACTTCCTTCATTGAATAAGAATAAGATCAAGTTTCTGAGCAGGCAAGACCTAGACCCAGGTGAATTCTCCATAGTGATAAGTGCCCTTTTGAGAAAGCTTGGAGAACATTTGATGGGGATACTCTGGCATTACAGAATGATGAAAACTGAGGGTGTTCATTTCCGCACAGTTGTGTTTTAACAACAGTCAATGCCATTCAGAGCGTTGTACATGATTAACTCATTTAGCCATCACCTCAACCCTATAGGAATAGTTAATTAGCTCCAGAGCTGAACTTGCTGCTGGATTTTTTGTTTTTAAGATTTATTTATTTGAGAGAGAGAGAGACTGAGAGAGAAAGTGCATGCACGTGCACATATGTAGGTTGGGGTAGGGAGAGAGGGAGAGGGAGAGAGAGAATCTCAAGCAGACTCCCTGCTGAATGCAGAGCCTGATCCGGGGTTCAGTCTCACAACCCTGTGGATCAAAAAAAAAAAAAAAAAAAACCAACAACCCTGTGGATCATGACCTGAGCTGAAATCTCAAGTCGGGGGCTTAACCAAACGGGCCACCCAGGCGCCCCTGCTATTGTTTCTTAAACAAGATTTCTCATAATCAAGATTTGTTCAGTAGGAAAGATAATGCTAACAATCTAAAATATTCAATCCTAGGGTCTAACTATATTTTTTCCTTGGTCACTCATCTAAGGCAGTAATCCCAAAATCTTCATCCTTACTAAAGAATCATGAATCAGGAAAGGATCTTGAGAAATTATCTTACTTAGGGGTCAACAACCTTTCTAAAATGATACAATGAGTCTATTTGTTTCTTATTATAGATGAGTTTAGTGGCTACTAAAACTCACAGGCATTGACAGATAACATTGTCAGGGTTACCCTGAGGAAATAGTGCCGGAATCCACAAACCCAAGAAATCCAGTGATCCTGAAACGAGGAGGTAGAGGTCAGCAGGGCTGGCCCACACTTCCAGTCCATTCTTACATACCCCTCTACGATCCTAGCCTCATGTCATAAAATCATTTCACTGTCTGTATGCCGTAGGTTGCATACATTAAATACAGTACATGAAATGTAATTTAGAGTGAATCTGTCTTCCTGTTTTATAACAATAGTTTCCTTAATAACTCATTCCAGCCTATAGCAAAATTAAATTAAACCTGTTGTTAGCTTACTGTCATTCTTGAGATGCTACTAAAGTCTTCTAAGCATCCTCTTTCGGTGGTTTGGCACTTTGGACATTCTTTGGTAACTAGCAGGTAGATGTTTAGTGATACTGATACTGCAATAGGGATGAATACGTGGCTCCCCCCTAGCCTGAGCTCCTGAGGAACTAGGCTGCATTTCTTTGTCTTTGTCTTCTAACCTAACCCAGGGACTGACAGGTTGGCAGAACTCAGCGGGACAGAGAATGCCTGTTGGAGGAATGAATGAATTCTCTTGCTTCTCAGTACTGTGCTAATCCTCTGCATCACAAGAGAAGACCAGTTTTTTTAGTTACTCAAATGTTTAGTAGAACAGAGCATTATGTATGGGCTTTGGGTTAAGACAGGTGGCCATAAGTGGCTCTCCCACTGTAAGCTCACTTCGAACTTTAATTTCGTGTCTGAAGATGGGGCTTTTAATAACTTCTTCTTTGGGGTCCTCTAAGTACTAAATGAGGTGATGTATGTGAAACTAATGGAAATAAACATTCATACCTCCCCTCTCCCCTTCTGTTTTCTTTCTCATTATGATGTGGATCTTTTCCTAGAAACATTTTTTTGGTTTCTCAGGTGTGGGTTGCCGACCGAGGAAATAAAAGAATTCAAGTATTTGATAAAGACACTGGGGAGTGGTTAGGAGCATGGAATAATTGTTTCACGGAAGAGGGACCTTCTTCAATCAGGTGATTTTTTTTCTTTTTCTTTTAAAATGCTCGTTTTATTAGGTGGGTGGGGGATGGGCTAAGTGGGTGATGGGCATTAAGGAGGGCGCTTGTTGTGATGAGCATTGGGTGTTATATGCGAGTGATGGATCACTAAATTCTCCCCCAGAAACTAATACTACACTATGTGTTAACTAACTACAATTTAAATAAAATCTTGAAAGAAAAAAAAAATGTTTGTTTTATTTGGTTTATGTTCGTTTCTCTGAAGAGCTAGCTGAAAGTTTAAAATATTATTAATTTTCAACAGGTGAAAAGGGGACAGAACCAAGTATGCAGAGAACACGTAATGGTATTTTAAATCCCAAGCAGAGCGAAAGCAGTTAAACTCCCTGTGCACTGTGGGATCCAGGTCTCAGAGATAACATATGCTGGACCTCCTACAGCCTTCACCCTCGGGATACATGTGATGAATTTCTAAACACAGAATGAAAATAGAAATTTTGAGTCTATAGTGTCAGCCTAGTACCGACTTTCCATTAGTTTCATTTTGTGTGGTACTCACATATTATTTTTGTTTGTTGAAACTCATCTTTGGCTATGTCTACCATCACAAATCTATTCCCTCATCAACAGACTTAGACAAATTTTAAATTCTCCTTGAGGGCATCCTTCAGCAAGTAGAGATGTCTATTGTTGTTTAGCATCACAGGAGATAAAAACGTTGAGAAAGTCAACATTTATATTAATTTTGCATACATTTATTCTGTAAAATGTCTTTCTCCTTAGATTTACTCCGGACGGGAAGTACGTGGTTGTAGCCCAGCTGAAACTTTGCAGGCTCTTACTGGTGGCAGCGCCCCCAGTGGGAAGCATCGGTAACTGTTCTGTAGTTGGCTCGATCCAACTAGCAGATCAAGTTTTACCTCATCTCTTGGATGTCAGTGGGAAGACTGGAGCAATCTATGTAGCAGAAATTGGAGCAAAGCAAGTACAAAAATATGTCCCTATGAATAGCTATTTTCCCTTATTCGGTTCGTAATGTTTCCTTTCGTGGAGATCTTTCAAGCGGTAGTTCAGATTCTCAAATTCATTGTTAAGCCCTTACAAATAATGTTCAAGCATAAAAAAGTGTTTATTTTTCCGTGACCTGGTGATGAGAAAAAATTGTTTTTATATCATGAAGAACCATATGTTTTGTTGCTCTTCTTGTGACTTAGTTTTACTTGTAAGTGCATTAGAATATTTTAATGAAGGAAATTTAGTATTTAAAAAAATGGAGTTGGAAAGAGGGACTGAGGTTGTAACCTGGGTATTTGCTCTGGTAGACTAGTTTTCCCTGGGAGGAAGAGGGAAAGGAATAAAAACGAGTTTTGCAGGATATCTTGAATTTTATGAGAAGAACTGCAAACCTCCAATTTGTTCACCTTATATAAAATGTACATTTTGAGAGATCAAGTCAGATGGGCTCTTGATTAATGAGTACCCATAGGATGCTAGCTCCTAAAGATTCAGAGATGAAGAAGCAGGTTTATCTTTGTGTGCCTTTTCAGGAGCTTGTAGTCCACTGGGGAGACAAGTGTGCAAACTGATATAACACAGTGACAGCAAGGCTTAAGTGTAGCAGGACTTTTGGAAGTTGGAACATTACTTCTGACTGAGGGAATCTGGGAGATTTTGCCGGGAAAGTCAATTTGAGCTCCAACTTGAGAAACTGAAAGGGGAAAGAAAACAAGGTGGTCCAAGTGGACAAGTGGTAAAAAGTTACAAACTTGCTGGGAGCTTTGGTAGGCTTTCTTTTAAAAGCCCATCTTGGCTTGGGTCCTTTAGCTGTAAAATACTTAATCTCAACCTCTCAGTGTAGGAATAAAACAACAGGCATTTAAGCACTTTACTGAAAGGGATCTTTACAAGTACTAACTACAGTGTTTTTTTTTAATTAAAGGTAACATTAAAAATTGGGGCCTCTCTTCAGGGCCTCTTTCTTTCTTTTTTCTTTTTGTTAAATACGTACTCTGTTCATTCCTAACATCTGTCTACCTCAAAGAAGTTTTAGAATTATTTATATGGGGATGTGTACTGAACACTTTGCACTCTTAAGGTGAATAATTTCTTACCTTTTTAGGCCTCTCTACCCCTTTGGTTTTAATATTTGCTTCCCCTTCTTTTCAGTTTGTTCTAGTTTATTCTGGGTTTTGGTTGAACCTGGCCATATGATGATCTTTCAGATCATTCCTCCCCTTTTCTTGTATCCATCTCCTTCTTTATTCTAGTCTTGCCCTGCAAATCATGTAGCATGTGAGAAATCCTGAGCTGACTTTTCTCATCACCCATTATGGCTGCAGTCTGTTTTACAGACCTCAGGGAATTCAAACTATTTTAATGCTTGAATCATATCTTGATGCAGTTAGGAAGATAAATCAACCAACAGGAAACTTCGTGTTCCAAGGCCTTTGATAAGTGTGTTTGTGCCACTCATCAAGCTATATGATCTTAAATGAGTTTTTCTTAGTTTTTTCTCTTTAGTAAAAATTCCTCCTCCAGGAATGCTGTTAGGATCAGGTGTATGACAGATACAAATGTACCTTCTGAAATAGTTTGGAGTACTTTAAAGGCAGAAATTCTTAACAAAAATCCTTCTAAATGTGCTATTTACCTGATATCAACCATCAAGTTTGCTTTAATTTTGCATTTATTGCTTTTTTCAGAACTTATCCTCATGAACTTTATGCAGCTTAGCCAATATAGTAAATTTATTTGTATAAAAAGAAAGTGATTTGAGGGTTTTGTTTTGTTTTGTTTTTAAGCCAGAACAAGAAGTGCAAATGTCTCTTAGGAATGCAGGTTAGATAAACTGATCTTGTCCTTTTAAAAATGTTATATTTAGCTTTACTTTATACCAGATTCTTATAAAACTTGCTGAAAATTTTGTTGCCATATGTCTTGCTAGAAGTGTCTATTAGCATCCCTGTAATCATAGTATTTCACTTTTTTCCTTTGGATTAATTGATTAAATGATTTGAGAAAATGTCTTATTGTCATTTAAAAGATACAAATTAAATTTTTGGAAAGAAAAGACAATATTATCTGGCTCTCTATTTAATGTTTGATTTTATTGTTATAAAAGCAGTTTATAACTTCTTACTCCACTGAAGAATTTCAGCAATCCTGAAATCACAGGTTGGCGCTGTGAGAATATCCTCCTTCATTCGCATATGAAGTGTAAGCTGAAGCACATTTTGTTAGAGGTCTCTCAGAAGTCCAAAAGAAAACAGCCTGGCTGAGATGGGGTGTGGGTAAAATAATAGTGATACTAGCTAACTCCATATATTTGTGCATTGGAAATGGAACCTCTTTATGCCCCTACTTTCTAGATCTATTAGGGGGTGTGTGTGGTGGGGTGGGGGTGGGGTGGCTTCTAAATTAGAAAACCAAAGGAAGGCTGGAGGTATCTTCCCTAACCTCCACCGTGACATCGGGTCTCTGCAATGGAATGTTTGTGTCCTCAGAGAAAACCTGTGCGCAATCTGATGGTAAACTAAGAAGACCCATATAATTTGTGCTTAGATCACTTAACAGATTAAGAGACTGCTTCAAGCAGTGTGGCTGTCAGGCTAAATAAAGGCACTCAAGTCCCAACTTTTGTTCACCTTTGTTGGTTTTAAACACTGGATTTGAAAGCAGGATAGATTGGAGAGCCCACAGGACAACTGGAAACTGTCAGATTTTTGCTCCTTTGACTCACCAAATCCGTTAGAATCATTAAAAACAAAAAAACAAAAAACTTGAATGTATGACTTTATTTTACTCTTGACTCTAAAATTTCAGCAATAATCAAATAAAAACACTTTTTAGAAAAGTCAGAGTAAGATTCATTTATTCAACAAAAACATGAAACAACAAATGTGTGAAGGCACTTAGACAAGTGTTCTCTGCCTTCGTAGCTGACCATCCATCTGGGAAAAGAAGCCCAGAAAACCATTTCCTTTCACTTCATCCTTGGGGGTTGCCTTATTTGGCACTTAGGTTGCATTATATTCTTGGTACAAAAGAGGGCAGTAGAGTCTTGCTTATGAGCATTTCTTGAACCCAGCTGTGGGCCTTCTTTATATTTATACTTCGATTTTTTAAAAAAATTGAAGTTAACCATACTTTTAATTTTTCTTCTTTTTCTTTAGCTTATATATCTTGAGGAAATTAGCTTATAGGTGACATATTTTCCAAGGGTTATGGAAGTTTTTACTGTTTAATTGGACATTTCCATGTTTAAAAAAAACAAACAACTTTTCAATAAAAGCCAAACTAACAGCCAGAAGTGAATAATTCATTTTAAACTATAACTTGAATATGAGTTTAGTACAATAGAAAATGCATCCATATTAACAGAGAATTATTCCTTTTTTCCTTACTAGATTTTTGTTTGTTTTAAACAATTTTGCCTTGTGGTTGCTGACTATCTTATAAATAAGAAAAATTGATTATTTACGGAGAGGCCAAGTAATTTTTCCATCAGACACTTAGCCATAGAATCCATGAGTTTATAGGGTAAGTTAATCCTTTAGACATTTAATGACATGTAGATAGTACCTTTGTATGTAAGAACTGAGTGGAACTTGAGCAATGAAAAATAGCACTTTTTGAAACTTTCATTTCTTCCATTGTAAACAATGAAAGGATATTGTTACGATTTAATTCTGCTTGTATGTAATTTATGCCAAAGTGGCCCATCTTGGGGCAGCCTGTTTTTAACCCCTACAATAGTCTATGACCCTGGTAAACAGATTTGTGTAGTTTCTTTTTGGATGCTACCTTTAAGAGAGAATCCTACAAATAGACTCTAATCCAAAAACAGTTGACCAAAATAACATTGTGTTTGGAAATAATTCTGAGACCTTCAAAGGGTGATCATATAGTAGCATGAACAGACTTATTGAGCTTTCCTCCAGAATGAAGATAATGAGTAGAAATAACAGTGTGGCCAGTTTGTCCAGCTTAAGGAAAGGACATTCTAGCAAAGAGCTGTGTAGCAGTGGAACAGACTGTGTTCATATTCAAAGTGGTAAAGCTCAGTGAGTCAGAACTTGAAATCTAGAGTTAGGTTGACTGGGGTTCTGATCCAGGCCCTGCCATTTACTTGCTGTGTTGTTTTGAGACTGCCTCATTTTTCTCTTTTGTGAAACTGAAATGATAGTATTTTCCTCAGGGGATTATTGTGAATAGAAATGAAATCGTGCATGTAAAACATTACACCTAGGCCCTGACACACAGTAAGCACTCACCACACCGTTTTTGTGCTATGTAAGCCCGATATGGGCAGCCATGCCACCTTTGGGCTGAAATTCTTACTCTGGGAAGATGGTGAGACCAGATGACCTTCCCTGTTGTATGATTCTGTTTAGTCCCACTATTGAGAACTAAAGGTATAGTTGTGATACATTAAGTCATCTATCATTTAGAAATGGCCACTTTTAAAAAGCAGAGATATTTTCAGTTCTCACTAAAGCTATTTTTAGTCATCCAACAGATGACTACATGTTAGATACCAGGAATATGGTGGTGAGCAAGGTAAAGACTCCTTTTCTGGAATATACATTCTACTTAGGAAAACAGAACAGTTTGAATGAAAAAAGTGAGATTCTGACTAGAATTTGTGGTAAATATTAACACTTGGTTGGCTAAATAAACACCCATTCAACTTTCTTATCTTATATACCACCTTGAAGACTGGAAGAGTGAGGTGCTTGCTTTCTCAGCTTAACTAGCATCTAGGTGTATTCATATGATGTGATTCTGGCCAATGCAACGTAAATGGAAGTCTACTAGGAGATTTCTGGAGAATCATTTTCCTTTTTTTATTTAAAAAAAAAAAAAGTAGGTATACTTAGCACCACTGCCTTCTCCCTTCTTGCCTGACTTGAACTTGAGTGTGATGCCTGGAGTTGCAGCAGTCATCATGGTACTATAAAGCAACAAACCCAACATTCTTAAAGAGGGCAGAAAGATAGAAGGAGGCTGGGTTTTTATGATTGGGGAACCACTGTACTGACCTGGTAATCCCTTTCTCCAGATATTTTATGCAAGATATTGAATGTTTTAGTTATTTAAGCCACTGTTTTTGTTGGGTGTCTTCTTACAGATAAAAAACATTCCTAAGAAATTCAATATTAAATTAATCTGCATTAGTTTGGGATGGATATTTTTTATAGTTTTAAGAGTCTATATCCAGGAAAATAAGTTACTCTGCTTTTATGTCTTATTTTATGTCCTTTGATAAGATTTTATTGTTTTTATTTTTCAATTTAGATTCTGTGCATTTC